TTATCCGATCCTGTAGAGGTTCTGCTCTAAGTACAAGTATCTTATTTTTTTTACACAGTTCATTGAAATAGAATTTTTTACGCCTCTCTTTATGAAAGTTCATTGCTTTCAATTAATTTTATTAATATATTTATACATTTTTATGTAAAATAAGATCTTAAATAAAAAAAACTTTAATAAAAACCTGTAAATCGACTACATACGTTGCAGATACTTTTTGCTCCTTCTGCCTTATTAGCATTTGAACTGGTTAATATTTTTTTGTGAACCAAATGTTTTGTTCATTAATATCAATTTCTATCAAAAAATAATAAACAAAATTAGTTAAGTGTATTTTAAAAATCAGTACGCATCTATATAAGCCAATTAAGAATTATATAAAATAAAGAGCAAAATTCTAAATGTGAAAATTTTGTACATTCGAATTATAGTCTTTTTTAAATAAACATATGTACATACGTATATCTTGTATTATACAAGATCCATTCATATTAACCTTACAATTACAGTTTTAATAAGATTAAATTAAAATATACCTTCTAAGAAAGCCCATATATTTGTTATGTTTACAAAATTTAATGGTTAATATAGAAGTATTCATATTTACTATTTACGACTCTGGGTTTAATTAGCATAATTTCTGTCTGTATCAAAAGATTTAAGATTTCCAAATTAGTGGATATTAATGTTTACTTTGTTTACAAAGTGTGATAGATTATCTTCTCGCATCATTTCTAATTGATCTATCTAATTTTATCTATCTAAGAGTTTATCTATCAAGCTGGATACTTACATATGAGTAATTATGAATTTAAATGTGTGCTTCTGAACTTGTTTTTAGATATTAATTAATTAAACATTAAGAAAACATATCAATAAAAAACAATTCGAAATCGAAATTTTAAATCAATCAACATGCTAAATCAGACCTTGGCATAAAATACGTGCGCTGAATCGTACTTTTAAGCAATAGCCAATGCCAGTTATTTGACACTGCTCAAATTACTATCTTATTTACTTTATGTAGTAAAAGGAAACATATACACCAAAATTAATTACATGACCAATATCGTATGATTGCATAATGTAAAATAATGTAACTAAATTGTCAAAGTTTATATGCTTTGCTTTAAAGACTTTTAATGACGCGTAAAGCATTTCTCGTCATTAAATCATAATCTATCTATGACGCAATCCTAACTGTTAGTTATATAACAATTGTAAACAGAACTAAAAGTAATATCAGAGTTACTTATTTAAAGGCAGTTTTGGATTTGCTTGATTTACACCATAAGTCATTTAATTGTAAGGATATAGTAAGCTATTATGCAAATCATTATGCAATACGAAAAATCCACTGAATTTTCCTTTGGGCATAATTTCATCTAAGATCGTGGTGTTTGTATTTCTAGGAAGATTATATTATTGAACTATATCTCTCTCACTGAGCCTATTTATTCTCCAAATACAAAAAACCTCGAGACCAGCTATTTTGATTTAAGTCTTTTAAATTTTCTATCCAAATTAGATAAATCTGAAATAAAATCAATATTGTATCTTTATCTTTATTTTTCAGATAATTTTGTTATAATTTTGTTATTTTCAAAATTATAGATAAAAAGTAGTATCTTGTATTGAAAATATAATTGAAGTATGAATAAAAGCAATATCGATCGTTTAGATATTGTACACCTGATCTGGTGGACCAAACAAGGCTATTACTTGGAAACACACCACAAAATTGCACAAAACTTTAAATGATCTTAAGTTGAATATGTGTGAACTGGGTTTTGCATTTACATTGGTCATTAGAAAGCTGTTATTGAAGTGTGTTGCCAAATGTTAACGGAGTCAGGCACATTGCCAATGCGCAGCTTCCTGATAACAAAAAGTTATAAGGAATTATAGGCTTACTTTAAGTTCCGTCTTCTCTTTATTAATGAGTTCATCGCAGTATCTTAAGTATATAGTCACTAGTCAGTGGTTTTCTGTATGTATTTAGTTGTAGAAATTAATTCTTTTTTCTGGCTATACGACTACAGAATTTTTCATTTGTTTCGTCGTTGTGACAGAAAGCGTTATTTAAAATTTTTTTTTTTAATTTACTTTATAAAAGAAACTTCCTTAAAAAGACTTACTCTATAACCTTAATTCAAAGCTACCACTATCTTCCATGATACCACTACCTGTGTGATATCATGGAACCCCCTGCCCATTGTGTGGTTCCATGGTAGATGTATTATAAAACTTTCCTTTTATTTTGTCATTTATTATGATAAATTCTTTCGTTTTTCAACTTAAAGTTGTCTTACCTTTTTATAATACCTTTTTTGTTCCTTTTTTTATAATATATAAAAGTGGCGTATTGTGCCATCTGAAAACACTATCAAATTTTGTTTTTGTTTTGCTATTTTCCTGCTGGGATAGCATGTCCATTTCATGCATATTGGATTTATGCATCCGCGATTATCTTAAAGGTTGGAAGATACTGTTTAAATTCTTTTTATTCAATCCAATATTCGATGTTGTTGATGACAAAAAAGAATTTTTTCTGGATGAGGATTTGAATATCATTCCAAATTATAACATAATTTCAGTTGGATATTAAATGTATTAATTTGATATTCATGTTTATGTGGTATAGTGAACCGCTTATTATGAATAAAACGAAGGATGACTACATCCTTCTTAGTATACAGACACTACTAAAGATCACTTTATTAGTCTTTGGTTTTACAATTTATGGTTCCATTAGGTTGGCATAAATTTGACGGTATGATGACTTACAAGATGGTATTATAAGGTAGATATAGGTCTGTAGTTAAAGTCGGATTTATGGCGTTAATTGCACTATAGAACTTATATTAGTCGAATGTCGAACATTCTTTATATGTGATCAGAGAAAAAATTCTTACGATAGATACACGTTTAGAATAATAACAACAATTTTTTCTCGTCCTATGCGCTTGGACAATTATTTATTCCAAAATACATTGCAAAACAAGGTAATTGGGATCACGTTTGTCACATGGTAGTACTCATGTAATTTAATCATCAGCTGGTTTCTTTTATAAACATTTATTTTAAAATATAAATTTTTCGTTAATGTTAAATTTAAATAGTTAAAGAGCCAGTGTTATCATAAACTCGCATTGGCATAAAAGAGCTGTACTTCGATATGGTGTCATTACAGGGTTAAAGTATGCGCTTCTAAATTTTAAAAATACAAAGTTTCGTTTTTTATCCAATAAAATGATTGGTTTTGTTACAAAAGTTTACGAATTGGTTCAGATACATAAGCCAGAAATAAATGTTCTAGATATTTAGGTCACATTTTTATAAGTCGCACGATTTACGAGTATTGGTACTGTAAAAATTATAGACTAACGATTCATCGGGTAGATTGATGTTTCAAGCTACTTGCAGAATTCAAAGGATTAACAATTGAAATATGGAACTGAAAAATAATTTTTATTTAAAAAAGCTGTGTTTAAATTATATACATACATATAATATTATTATGTAATATAAGATACTTTAAAATTTTTCCATTTTAAATGCAGCAATTATTACTTCCACTAGTTGCTTGACTACAATCTTCAATATTGTATCATTGTCAATATTGTCTATTCCTGGAGCTTTTTTACTTTTGAGTTCTTTTTTACGTTATTTCATTTCTATCAGATTTGTGGGTTTTATTTCTACCTAGTAACTTAGCTTCAGCTGTGGTCTCCCCAACTTCTGTAGCGAGTACAATATTTGCTGATCTAGTTGGTTGTGTCGCTGTTACAGTTTCTGCAAATGATTTTTTAAGTGTTGTTTGAAGCATCCACCAAAGTTTGCCGGGTGTTGACGTAGATAACATCTTGATCTGCTCGTTTCCTATATCTTTGGGTTGCACTACAATTGGTAGCTGAATTCCTTTCCTCGGCTGCTGTGATTCGATTTACACGCAAAGGTCGCACACGTACTTGATAAAATTTCATTTTCGTTATTTTGAAGTCTGGCTTTCACCATGTTGGAGTTGATATCGGTTTTGAATTTAATGTATTGACATTCATACAGATGAAATGTTTGATCCTTCTAGACATCTTTTTTCGTTTGCTGGAATGCCGCTTAAGCATTTTATTACCAAATTCATATGTTTATCCTTAGGGAGAAAATACGTATGGTACGGCAACTTCATTTCATTTAGGTGTTCCGGTGCCCATCTGTGGTCGTTCGAGATATGTGGTTATATTTAGATATTTAAGCGTGCTAGTTTGGTCTCTTTTTGTTGAATACTGATATTCATTTTGCTGTTGTTTGATTATTTTACTATTCTTTGTTATCGTTGGGGAATAAGGATCGTTGTCTATGTTTTCCTGGAAATTCAGTTTTTCTTATTTTTCTGATGTAATGATCGATACTGCTATTGTTGGTTTAGTGTTCTGCTGTTTGTTTTGTTCCAGTTCGTTATTGTTTGCTGTTTCTTGATTATTTTCTGGGGCTATATTTGCCTCGACTTCGTCTTCTGGTTCAGTAATGTAAATCCAGAAGGTCAAATTCTTCTTTTAGGAGATGGTGGTGAACATTTGGCTCTTTTCCTTTTACTATTCTTACTCTATTTTCATTTACCGTTGAGATTTTTAATCATTTCCTTTAGGTTTGTATTCCTAGCTCGCTAGCTAAATTTATCATATTTATTGTTGATATCTGAAGCTTTCTGGTACCCCTGTAGTTTTGCCAGTAAAAGGTTCATATCAATGTTTAATGTTTCTGAGACCTGTATTTTGCTGTCTGCCATTTTTATGTTTTTATTTATGTTGTTTGCAGGTATTTATTTTAGCTTCTTTCTTGAAAATGTTTGACATTATTTTCGTATTTATTTTATTTTTCATTTTTATTTTTATTGTTTTTTTATTTCATATTAAACAACTGAATTGAAAAAATTTACAACATACAATTTTTTAATAACACGGTATGCAAACTAATTCAAGTATTTATATCTTTGTTGTTAGGCTGATGATTTATTCGAAGATATCTTGCAAATAGACTCAAATAATTTAAATGATTCACTAAGATTTGATCAGAACTTTTCAAGCGATTTGTCAATAAAACAAGAGCCTCAATCTCTCAGTGAAGCGGAAATGCATGCTTTGGCCAAGGATCGCCAAAAGAAGGATAATCACAATATGAGTAAGTTAATTGCTGACCATTTATATATGTATACCTGTAACAAAATATTAATTTTTATCAGTTGAAAGACGTCGTCGTTTTAATATTAATGATCGCATAAAAGAACTAGGTACTCTCTTGCCAAAAACAAATGATCCGTATTATGAGGTAGTGCGAGATATTCGTCCTAATAAGGGCACAATTCTTAAATCCTCTGTGGAATTTATAAAAATTTTAAAGCATGAGGTATCGCGACTTAAACAAAGCGAATACCGACAGAGGCAAATGGAGGTACAGAACCGACGTCTGTTAAATAGAATTAAGGTAAGTTTTTCATTTCTGCTTCAATGTTACATACATATTTTCACTGAAATATTAATTTAAATTTACAGGAATTAGAGATGCAAGCAAAATCACATGGAATAGCACTAACTGATTTTAACTTATCGTCTGCTTCAGCTCCCACACCAATAACATCTTATCTTAATAATGCTACTTCGTCTACACCAGCACATAATAATAGATCGACTCCATTAATAGCTGATATTATCGATAAGGTAAAATAAAAGAATATAAAAAACTATTGAAAATAACAATATTATATTTTTGCATAGCTGCCAGTTATCGGAAGTGAGACAAATATTAGTATTAATCAAATGGATGAGCTTATGGAAGAAAACAAAAACCCAGTTCAGGGCAACGATCCAATGTTGTCGTTACAACATGGTACTAATTTATTATCTGCGTCACATTCACCAACATCACATACGTGTAATGTTACATTGCCTACTAAACAATGCCTACATAATCACAATGTGCCAAATTCTTCCAATGGTTTGTATCAAGAAAATTCTTCAACTACGTCATCTGATACTTCAGCTTACTTAAAGGGCAGTGAATGTTGTAACAAATGTAATATTCTCAAAAGCACACAGATACAACACAACGATCATCATCACTGCCAACAACAATGCATGCAAAATTGCTTTCATATTATAGAAAACTGCAATAGCAACAAAATGCAGCCAACATCACCAACAACTTTACAGCATGGACGTGACCCCTTATTGTCTGCCTCTTCGCATTTGGACACATTAGAAAAAAATCAACTACATCACCCCAACGTAGTGGATCTTGATGCTACAATTCTTAATGATTCTTTGTCCTTGGTGACCGCTTCTCACGGTGAATCAATATTTTCAGATTCATTAGATATTGACATACCATGATAATAGCAGTCAATTTTACTATTACTTACTCAATTTAGTCAGGACTATGTTATGCAGACAATCATATGACGAATGGTGCTCATCTCGTCATGTTGCATAGATAAATTAGAATTATCGATTTCGTACTATTAGTATTATTTTGATTTGTGTATATTGGTTGCGCCTAAATTTAAAATTAAATTTTTTAAAGAAAAAATATACATACTTGCTCCTAAGAGGCGTAAATTCTGACATTTATTACTGCACATTAAGCCTCGTCACTGTGACCAAAGTTTAATTGAAATTGGTCTCTTGCTCTTATACTCAAATTACTCTTCATATTTCACATTTCAAATTTGTCGTGATCATGACTGTCTGCATAACATGGTCCCTAAGACTTACACAACAAGTCCCTAAGACTTGTTTACATATGGATTTTCAAAGTAGATCAAATTGTTTGTTAAAAGTGTTCGATCCTAATAATATCAGAGGTAACTAAATCATATATCTTAACTAGTATATATTTCTTTTTATTTGACAAACTGTTATGATTTTTTTTGCCTTCTGCATCTTTCACATACTCGTAACCCGTGTAAAGACACGGAAAGACAATATTACACGTTGACATGTAAAGTTAGTTGTTGTATTCCACAAAAAATTATTTTTTTTTTGTTTTGCGTTTGTTTAAATAATTGCACTTGTCTGAATAATTGTAAATTGTCTTCTATTTTGATTTTGGGTTCGCTCTTGTTTGAATTTTATTTTATTTATTACATGTTATAAATTAAATTTTCTCAATAGTCTCAATAAGTATCTTATGCCTTGATTAAAATTTTCAAAATGTTTGTAGTTTTGAGTTCAGGTGTGAAAACGTTATACAAGGATACGTTCCTACGTTAAAATAATTGGTCTGTTCTGCGAGCTACTCGCTACTGTGTAGTAGCGAGTAGTGGTTCCACCACCAAATTTTCGTATATTTTCGTGTAAATTTTGCTTGTGTTTTACTTGAGTTTTACTACGAGTAGCTCGTGGAACATACCTAATGAAAAAATTGGATCTTTTATCTCTTAAACTCTTTTAAAACAGCTTCTCTACCTCTCTACCTCTCTATTTTAGATATTTAGGGTTATGTCACAAAATTTATGTACCATATATTCACTTGTGGGTTTTGGGACCAAATAAAATTAATTAATGCGATAAATTGTTTTTAATATAGATTATTAGTTTAGTTTATTTGCTATTAATTAATGCGATACATTTTTTTCATACTGTATTGCATTACAAGAGAAGTTATTATCAAACCACTGTTCAATATATATATATATATATATATATATATATATATATATATATAATATATATATATATATATATATATATATATATATATATATATATATATATATATATATTTGTAGCATAATAGTTATAAAATCAAACATCTTATGAATATGTAGGAAGCGCATTAACCCATTTATAGTCGATTTGTTAGGTGAAAACATAAAATATGGGTATTCAAGCGTGACAATTTATCCCAATCGGACTCCTTTATTTTAACAAAGTACGGAAAGCAACATTTTTAATACATAGTACCCAATTAATTGTTTTCAATTACCAATCATACTCATAATAATGAATACACATATGAATTAACAAAATTTGTTTCACAGATTGTATTTCTATATGCTAAATCCACATATCTATCAATCTTGTCAAATTTTACATTATAAACATAATTGGATCTTATACGGATATATTTTGCTTTTTATGAAAAGATCCAACAAATACTACGTACAAATGTTGCAAAAATAAAAACGTTGTATATTCTTTCTATAGAAGTAAATTAAGAATTAACTTGTTTCGAGTTGTTTCGGGACGTTATTGTAAATACTGGAACTTATTCAGTTGTGGTATTGCGGGGCAATTCTACAAGACACATTTAGGTAAACGGAGGGTCAGTTTTTTCAGCACTTAAGTGCAATGCAAAATATTTATTGGATATATTTATGGAAATATATCATAGGCATAAACGCAGTTTTATGAAAATACAAAATATGTGAAATCCAAAATTGAATTTTAAATACAAAGTATAAACACACCAATTTTAATTGCCAGACAAGTAGTCCAAATTCTTTTAATTTCCTAATCCGTATTTAGTCAAGGTTTTAAGCCGACTTTTTAATGAAGTTTTAAAACAATTTTTAATTTTATTTCTTAATATAAGTTCAAACTTGTGTTATTCCAAGAAAAATTAATTTTAGAAAGATAATTAAATAATGTTTAGCTATATAAGGAAATTTAGACGCCTATATTACACCTTCTGAGTCATAATTGTGTAAAAGAAAATAATTTTTCTCTCCAACGCAAGATACACGTTTGTTGTTGTTTTCTTGTCAAAAATAAAAACTTTTTTTGGCTATGACGGATCTAGAGATGATCTAGAGATCCGATGTCGGATCTAGAAGAAAGAGTCTACAACAGTAAAGGACAAAGAGACAATAAGTGAATAGCATTCGTCTTTTTTTTTATTAAATAATTTGTTATGTTTCAAAGGTCCTTCCTAATGAAACGGTTTGTAAAGTAAAAATAAATTATATGCTTGGTTTGCATATCCTAATATATTATTTAGTTATCTCTGGTAACACACATGCATCTGAACAAGAGAGAGAATGAAGAGAGGAAGAGTTGATTATTGTAGTGAATTCGATATTTAAGTCCATGCCCTACAGAGGGGTATGAACGCGACTATCGGGCTTATTAATTTTGTATTTAGATCAAAACTTTTCAGTACTTGCTTTAAATTGCAATGTAAATTCAGTTGTTGGTAATATTTTGATATTTTGTTGGTAGTTAAGCTATTACAATGATATGAATGTTGTAAGTCCTTTTTGTTACTTTGGTATCGATATATGTATTCTCTGGGCCACGGACATATTTTTCACCGCGTTTAAAACAGAATTAATGTTTTAAATATTAGGTGTGTTGCCATAATGACTAATAATACAATTAATCTTTGTTTTCTATATATTTTGTAACTCTGAGTTTCAAAACCAAACGCAGCTAGAAAAGTCTGCATATAGCAATCTATTATAAGTATAATGGCTATCTGCTCTTCATATTATACAAAAATATATAATTTTACTTTAAAAAAAATCATTTATTTGCCAAAAACTAAAAACAATGGTGCTCAAATATTTGACTTCGTCCTGAACGACACATTTATCGAATTTTAACGAAACAAATTAGTTAGCACGATTAAAAAAAAAATTGTTGGAAATGTTGCTACAGAGAGAACCCTTCTTTCGTTAAAGTACATTAAATGTATAATGTGTCGGCCTGGACTTAGCTTAATTTATGTGTGTTTATGTCAATTATTTACTTTTTGGCTTATTTATAAAGCAATTTAGATGTAAGTGTATAATTAAAATTGTATAGAGTCACCAATTTTGCACATTACGTCAAGTTCACAATCACATTGCTCATAAGAAAATGTTTACTTAAGACAATAATATATATAGTAATTATATAAATTCTATATACACCGTATACGGGTATATTTAATATTTTAAAATAGTACAAGTTCCTGGAAAGTATTAAGAGTTTTATTATATTAATAAATATACTATAATACAATACATGTATATATATATGTATATATATCTAAATCAATAAAATGGATGCTCTATACGCTAGAGGCTGTTCGAACGATATAAAGAGTTTCAATGACAGAGAATTAAAAATCATATAAATATATTATTGTAATAAATATTTTGAATTTTTTTAGATAATTATTTAATTATTCAAAGAACATAATTGCAACGGATTGGGTTCAGTTCTTTTAGCAAAAAAATATCTGGTCACGTGAACTAGAAATTGAGGTGTTTCACAATCTGGTATGGAATGTAATTAATGAAGAATGTGGTTGGCAATGCGACGGAAGCATACAGTCGTAAGCATAAAGGTAAAATAAATATCGTAAACAAATGTATAAAAAAGGAAGTATAGCAAAACAACGAAGTTTTTTGCCAAACGAAAGGACGTATACTTCCGCTTACAGGTGACTACGTCTTCCCAAGGATTTATATGTTTAGTTCTTCCAACAGGATAACAAAGTTCTGCAAATTTCAAGGATCAGCAAACACATGTAACGACATATACTGTAAAGGTAACTTCACCTAGTGATGGAAATTACAAATACTGCTTGGAAGTGCAACAGGACCCATCTATTTTTTTTTTGATCAATTTCAACGCTTTGTGTTTTTTTCTTTATGTAATGTTTTTGAGTAATTAATTTTTTTTATTAAATTATCTATTTTCTTCATTAATTGTTGTTAAGAAGTTTTTTTTTTAAATTCATATATTTAAATTTTTTTTCTTTTTTTTCTTAAGGTCTCTTTATTAGGTAAGGTTATATTGGCGATCCAAAGAGGATCCACTTAGGCCTACTGACTTATTGTGTTATTGTATAATAGAAAAGCTTATGGTTTAAAACCACCTAACGCTTTTGGCAAAGCTTGCAGTTGAGATCTTGAAGTTGATGAAAATCCTCAAAGTATTGAGTCGTCGCCGTTTTGGGTAAAGACAAAGCAGATGAGAGGGACTTTCATCCATTTCCCCACAGCTGCGACAGGTATAATTGAAGGGGAGATTCAATCTTCTGGCATGGTAACCTAATCTACAATGAGCTGTAAATAAACTTATCATAAGACTAACATCTCTACGGGATTTCAATGAGAGAATTGGATCTCTTTCTAGTTGAACGTGTCCAAATTGCATACAGGTGCCTATATATCCCATCTTTTATTGAAAAGCACAGAAGGAACACAGTAACAGTTTGCATACTGTTAACTATATGCCCAGATTGTTTAGCTGTTCCGAATGAAGTCCTAAAGTATCCCTTTTGACTAGCACGTATTCTTTACCATTGCCGAAAATATATCTTTGATCGGGAACCTAGATTAGAGAAATGCTGATCTGCGTCAATATTGGACTCAACTCAAAGACTTTAAAGTAACTTGACTGCCTGACAGTATGTATATATTCCTGTTACATATGCCATCTACTTTGAGATAAGCTATAGCTTCCCTAATGACGATCACTTCTGCTGGTAAAACACAACAATATGGCTCTCATATGTCTCTAGACGCAAATACAACATTGAATTTTCTGTCGAAGCTGAGAATGGGAGAGATGTGGTCAATTTTGTGAAGATTAGGATTGAATCAGCTTTTGGCTGAATCTTATTTAGTACTGCACAGTATAAAGAATTGTCAAGAGCACTCCGCCGGTGGTGCTACACAAGAGTAATGTTCTAATGGCAGCTATATACAGCCATTAAGTGATACGTGGTTGTAACCCTCACCTTTTACCAATAGCTTTTTAACATAAGAGCAGCGCAATATTAGTTTCCTTACTGTGCCCTAAGGTATTCTGCTTCCAAGTAAGTTTTTTGTAGAAAAACTACCTAGTAATTTTGGTTCCCCAGTAAATTGTTTCACAAAACCTTGTAGAGTGGTTGG